TGGCCTCTGAGATGGATGCCTTCAAGCCAGGGTTTGGAGAGCATCATCGCACGGGGAGCGAGAATCCGGCTCCGGGCATGAGCTTTGATTTTGAGCAGGGATTTTCAGCCAGACTCTCAGCAAACACACTCTGTCAGACACTGGGGGACACAGGCCAGCCAAGTGTCAGCTCGCCAGAAAGAGACTTGAGGTGGGAGAGGGTAGGGGCCCACAGAGGGAAGCTTCCCAGGGCCCCTCATTGTCTCATTCAAACCAACGCACAATGAATGAGAGCAACGTGTCCAACACTGTGCACGGGGCAGGGGACACAGAGAACAGATGCCATCATATCTGCCCAGTGAGCTACTAGCCTGGCCACCTATAGCAATGGCTCTCATCCTGGGTACCCTGCCTTTCCTGGGGGCACCTGCACCCGCTCAGTGACTTGAGATGGAAACCAGAGAGTCACTTGGGATTCCTCTTGTTCCCTTTCCTCATGCCCCACACCTGCCACCCGCCCCCACCCCGAGAGCTCCTTCCCCCAACATTTCCCAAGCCCCTTGTGTCTTCCCACCCACCGTCCCCCGCTCCCCTGCTCCTGCCACAGCTGCGGCAGCAGCTCCGGGGATGGCCTCCTGCCTCCAGCCCACCCCCTCCCCTTTCTCCTCTGCGTTGGGGGAGAGACCATCCTAAACTGCAAATGGCATTCAGAGCCCTAGGGGCTCCCCACTGCCCTTAGGATGGTGTCAGACTCCTCACCATGGTTTTCCAGGTCCTGGCACCCAGAGGGCCCCTGTAACACTGATCTCTCCCCCGCACACACACCCTTTCCCACCTCTGCACCAAGGCCTCTCACCCTCAGCGCTCCTGACATTTGGGGCCAGATAACTCTTCGCGGTGGGGGCCATCCTGTGCATCGCAGGATGCTCAGCTGTACCCCTGCCCATGTGCGTTAGATGCCAGTAGCACATACCCCCAGTTGTGTCCATCAAAATTATCTCCAGACACTGCCAAATGTCCCCGGGGCGGGGCGCAGGGGAGGGCAAAACGTCCCCAGGTGAGAGCCCCTGCTCTAGACCTTTGCACATGAAAGGCCCTTCTGCTTTCCTTTCATTCGCACCTGGCTTCCCCTCATCATCACATTGAAATTCGATTCAGCTGCATCCACTCCCAGACGGCTCCCTGGCTCGCCCAGGCCGGTCTAGGACAGCCTCCAAAGACCTTCCCACCCTCACACTTCCCTGTGCACCGTCAGCCACTGCTCCCATCACACTGCATTCCACCGATCTGTTGACGCGCTGTCACCGCCTTTGGAAGGTGGGCTCCTCAGGAGCCACCTTCTCCAGGGCGTGGAAGCACTGACCCCACAGACCTGCAGAGGCACAAGAGAGCGGCGAGCTGGGAGACCACCCAGGTGGGAGCGATGGCTTCTGACCAGAGGCAGAAGAGGCTCTGTGCGGAGAAGCAGAAACACAGCGGCAGAAAGATGGGGTGGGGGGTGGGGGGCAGAAAGACGGTGGCGGGGTGGCAGCTCCTTCCGGGTGCGGGGCCTTGCAGGGAACAGATGGACAAGGGTGACGAGATGGGGACATCAAGATGAGGCTGGGAGGTGGCGTGGCTGGAGCCCAGCGTGGGGCCTTTGGGAGAGGAAACTGGAGGCCAGGTCGTGAAGACCCCTGCATGTGTTCTGCAGCCCAAGATGTATTCA